AAAACACAGGCAATACAGTCCTCATTCTCAAGGAGCCTGGAATTGAGTCCAAAAGAATAAAGTCTGCGCAGAACACCATCGTGGTGTGAGCACAGATTACAGGAGACACAAGACCCCCAGGACCTTTATTTCTCAGCCCCAGGATTTCTGCACGGTTTTTGCTTTTGCTATTTCACTGTCTCTGTGAAGGTTTTCATTTCCGGTCACTTACTGTCCTACTCACTGCCTGGCGTGGCCCTCTGTGCTGTTCTGATGCTCACCAGCTTCTCTAGAAGGGGCATTTTAGGTACTTGGTCCGAGAGCTCACGGTCCCCAACTCTTGGGGTCAGTCACTGGCACTTCCTACTGTCTCTCTGACGTCCTGTTTCCTTGACTATTCCTGACCCTGGTGAGTGCACGTCGAGGTCTGTCCCTGTGGAGGAGCAGGGCCCGCGCAGTCTCTGTGGACCGGTTTTGTCTGCCGGCAGCTTCCAACAGCAAACCCAAGAGCTGAAGGCGGTGGGCGGCCAACTCAGCGCAGTATGGCCGCTCTGCCGCTAGGAGGCAGCCTAAGCCCGGGACCACGCGTTTGAAAACCAACGAGAGTGAACACTATTTATCATGCTAGGAGCGCCTACTATTTTATTGTAGTACCCTAGCAATATTTCAGGGATTATTCTTTCAGGTGAACTGGTATTACCCTCACAGAGCTAACAAAACAACTGCATCACAAAGTTGAATCCTAACCGCTAGACCACCAGGGAGTGTCTGCATCGCAAAGTTGCCTATGAAAAATTATAAAAATAATCTACCTGCCCAACACTGGAGAGGTTAAAGGATTTGACAAGACCTCCAGAAAAACAGTTTCAAAATTTTGTGTTTCAGGACCCCTTTGTCCTCTTAAAAAAAAATCATTAAGGATCTCGGGGAATTTTTGCTTAGACAGGTTACATTTGTCAGTATTTACTGCCAAATAAGGAAAAATTTTAAACATTAAATATATATATATATATATATACACATTTATTAGTCATCAGGGTGCCAATCATGAGAAAATAAGGAACACTTCAGTGCTGTTGCAATAATAATACTTCTCAGAATCCTTAAAAGAAAACAGGGAACATCCAGAGACCCCCAGACTACCCTTTGAGAACCACTGGTCTAGCCCAGGGGTCTGAATTTTTTCTTTTTTGAACAAATATTTCAGGCTCTACAAGCCACGTGGGCTGGGGATATAGCTCAGCGGCACAAGCACCTGCGTGGCAAGCGCAAGGTCCTGAGTTCGATTCCCGGTATCAAAAAAAAAAAATCACGTTCGTTTACAAGCCATGTATTTCTCTTTTGTTCTTACTCAGTTGTAGTGTGAATGCAGCCACGAAGAGCAGACAAGTGCGGCCTTGCCCCAATAAAACTTTACCTACAACACATGAACCATGATTATCTGTCTATTAAGATTCAGACAACAGGCCAGATAGGGGTTAAAGTTCTGCTGTAAAAATATTGGCAGAGAAGAACAGTCAGGTTAAACTAGTTAGTGAGAAGAAAGCAGATTGCAAAAACACGTGTACAACATGACCTCAATGTTTGTAAAAGAAAAAACCTAGATGTATATCTTAAAATGATAACATACATTAAAAAAAAAATTTTTTTTTTTGAGACAGGGTCTCACTAAGTTGTAAAGTTGCCCAGCAAGCTCTAATTTGAACTCCTCCTGCCTCAGCCTCCCAGAGGGCTGGGATTACAAGCATGTGGCACCAAATCCAGCTAAAAGTTACCCGCGACGATTTCTGATTGACGGTTTACTTAAGGCTTCTCTGTAATGGCATGTATTTTATATTATAAATACACATCACCG